CAACTGTATCAAATATGATCGAAGTATATAATTAACTACACTCGAAGCATAACCCACGGTGTTAAACGCTAGTATTAAATTTGAAGCTTAACAGAGGTCTGGTGATGGACCGACAAAAATGAGAAATCCAAAGGCACTGAGGATCCACTGTGTATTTAATTTGTAAAAGATAAAGCTATTCGTGTCAGAATACAAAAATACAAGCAGAAAGATCAAATATAAAACAGCAGTCAAGCAGAAACCTCACCATCCGAATCTAAATTGAATGCTTGGCCTTTACCCTTTAATAAAGTGAATATTGTTTCACAAGTAAGCCCCTATTTTATTCCCTCGATCCATCAAAACTTCTTTAATACTAACGAAAAAAAGTTTGATTGAGTTAACACTTATTAATATAAAAAATTTAAATTATGATTCAAATTAAAATTTAAATACACGAAGGGTTTCGAATTCATGAAATGTAAAGATTTAATTATTATATTTTTTGAATCGCACATTTAGGTTTAATAATTCAACTCAAAACCTTAAAATATTTGAGTGAAGTAATTGCAATTTCGAGTTTCGCTATTGTCTTAAAAACTTTCTTCCCCATCCCCAAATTGTATAATGTTTAAAACAAATTATTACATTTTTTATTTAATTATCCGAAGAAAATAAATTATGTATATTTTTTGGCCTTCTTGTCCGTACTACTGAACATAAAGTCATTTTAGCAGTCAACGCTTAATCATCGACGAGTGGATTGATGTTGAGATGTGCAGAAATTTATCTGCAGGCCATATAACAGTTGAAAATGAGCAATTTGAGATGTACATTATATTTGGACGGTGAAAACCTCTTTTTTGGTCCCTTACCTTTTGTATGAAGCTCTTTATTAGTCCTTCAACTGAAATAATTTCCTTTTTAATCCCTAAAATTCAATTTTTCTGCTTATTTTTTGATTCCCTTGTTGATTTTTTTGTTGATGTGGCACGCTAGCAAAAACATTATTTTTTTTAAAAAAATGACAAT